GAAGAGTATGTATGGACATTCGACAACAGGGATTAGATACATGCTTGGTTGTTTAAATTGTTCTTCTATGCTTAATGGGTTCCTAATGCTTAATTTTAGGTTAGACAACAAATGATCAAATTAGGGAATTAGGAACACAAGGTTATGACCACACACCATGGCTTAATCATACTTTAGCTAGAATCAATCCATTAATCTAAATTGAACTTGGGAACTTATTTGCTTGAGTTACTTATTTCTTTCTTCCTTGTTTTATGTTCTTTGTTTTTGTTTCTATTTTGTGTAGGGAAACTAAATTGGATCATTCAATCACCAATCCCTGTGGAATCGACCTCGCACTTACATATGCTATACTACCAACGGTTCGTGCACTTGCGAGTATCACAAGTTGAGGATGCAACTGAATCCATGTTGGTGTAGCTGAATCCACACAACAATCACCTCTTTCATTCAATGGTGAAAGACTATCATATTGAACCATCTCCTCAACGTTATTCAAGTATGGTGGACATGTTGGGACGTGCAGGGAAATTGGAGGAAGCAGAGGAATTGATTAGTCAGATCCCAGGACAGCCAGGGTTTTCGTTGTTGCAAAGCCTGCTTGGGGCTTGCAGGATCCAGGGGAATGTGGAGATGGTGGAGAGAGTAGCCGATACATTGATGAGATTGGAACCAATGGAATCGGGTTCTTTTGTGTTGATGTCCAACTTGTACGCCGAGAAAAGGGACTGGGAAATGGTAGCAAAAGTTGGGAAATGGATGAGAGATAAAGGAGTGAGAAAGGAAGTGGGATATAGTTGGGTGGATACTGGGAAGAGTTAGCAAAACTATTTGATAAAATGCTCTAGCCATCGCTACTTGGTATACTCTAGGTCCAAAACCTTTGTATGGTAATGTCAAAATTGAGGATGTTCTCAAGTTGCATCTTTGAATTTTACAAGGTTTCTAAAAATCTTGTAAAAGGTAATGTGTAGAAAGGTGCTAAAACTCGTAAAATTAATTGGCAAGAAGAGCCGCCACAAATAAAATCTTGCAACTGGTAATGTGTAGAAAGGTTCAAAACCTTTGGATTGGATTCCTATTTTTTGTTGTTGCATTTATGGGTTTAACCCGTATTATTTCTTATAAATAAAATCCATTTTTTATTCTTGCCAAATGGGCTAATAGCTGGAAATCATTAAAATGGGAGGTATCGGAAAAAACTTAAATTCTCATTACCCAATATCACTAGTACAAATAAAATAATTGAAGAAATAACTCTATCCTAATTAGCAAAATTGGTATTTTAGCCCTAAACCCAAAAATATCATGACAAAATTTTATATTTAAAGGGTATAGCCGCGCGGCTATACTATTTAAATACGGCTATACTCTTTGAATATATTCGAATATTTTAAAGGTATAGCCGCGCGGCTATACGCTTTAAATATATTCAGAACGAACACGAAGCTTGCACTTGTAGTCACAGCCATTTCGCTTCTCGATAAGCGCTTCCAAGCTTCAAAGACTCTCTCTCTCAACTCAAGCTTCAAATTGTTTTTTTTCTTTCGTTTCGGATTGGATTGGATTGGATTGGACTCTCTCTATGAAAACCATCAAATGTCATTCAGCTATTGAAATCTCCACTAAGATAACAACTCTGATGCTATAAGGGAGTTAGGCAGCGCCTAGGCGGCCTGGGAGGTTCTAGGCAGCGCCTAGGCGGCCTGGGTGGTTCTAGCCGGCGCCTAGGCGGCCTGGGTGGGTCTGGGAGGCCTGGGTGGGTCTGGGAGGCCTTTTTTTTTTTTTTTTTTTT